AGGCCGTCTATATTGGAGGTTTCGATGAATTTAACACACAGTTAATTCTAACAACACCCTCTACAAGTTTCTACATCTTTAACCGTATTCGTCGATACATTAACCCACTGTTTCTTGGCTTTTTTACTTATCAGAGTAGTCGGTGCCTTGTCGAACAGTGAAAACTTTGCAAGAGCATACAACTGTCCAGTGGGCTCACCAATGAATCCAAGTGAAAAGTGTCATGTATGGTGAATGACTTTGTGTTCATAGTTCTCAGTGAACGCATATATTCGTGTTCTCATCTGAAAAGAAACTGAACTGTAATGATGTCCTATTTTGAATAATTTTTTTGTCGAACTGTTGTTATCATAATATACTCATCTGAGTGAACTTGATTTATTTGATTCCCTTCTTTCACCTATGACATAGTCGATTAACATTATGCTGGCTTTCAGAGAACTCACTAATTTTCTACTCTTCTATAATCAGTCTTCTTCCTATATTTCAAATTCTACCAAAATATGTCTCCAGTGACTTTATCACTTCTTAAGGTAACAGCCTCTACGGTTCATGAGGTTATTAATCATTTCATGTAGTCCATTTCAGTAGATGGCAAATATTCGTTCACTGTTATGACAGGTAGACGACACCATTACTGGAGAAGGTGTGGAAAGAGGGGAAGGTACCCGAGGATTGGAAGAAAGGCTACTTATTTAAACTACCAAAGAAAGGAGACTTAAATTAATGCAAGAACTGGCGCGGAATTCTGCTTCTGTCCATCCAAATCAAATAACTAAGTTTCACAATCCTGGAGAGTATCAAACACGCCAGCCTTTATGGGAAACTTCGAATGGAACAGGCTGGATTCAAGGGAAACAAGTCATGTATTGATCAAATTGCCACACTACGGATCATCATTGAACAGGACTTCAAATGGCAATCAGCTCTCAACCTCACTCAATTTCATCGACTTTGAAAGGGCGTTTGGCAGCGTCGATCGAGAGGTGATTTCAAAACTACTTCGCTATCACTAGAGGGTGCCGGCAACATATATACATCTCATCCAACAGTTGTACGATAATGCTGCAGGCCAGACGGGAGTAAGACAAGCTGGTTGACTACTATCGCCAATGATTTGCCTGATCGAAGTAGACTGGATGATGTAATAAACAGCGGACAGCGAGGAAACAGATATAAAGTGGATCCTCAAGAAAAACGTGAAGGATCTGGACTTCGCCGAAGCGGCATATGGCTGATTTCTCATAGAGTGGAAGATATGCAAGTGAAAAGCAACAAGTTGGAAGAAGAAGCATCGAAGATAGGACTTCACTTCAGGTGAACATAGAGAAAATAGAGGTAGGTGATGAAGATTCCTGGCCAACACCAACAGCAACAACAACAACAGACAATCAGTCAGCAGAGATGGGAGACACCTGAAAGAAACAACGTCATACACCTACCTTAGAAGCGTCGTCTCAAATACAGGAGGACGAGACTTATGAGGATATCAAAGTGAGTATCAAGAATGCAAAGCACTCTTTCATTTCTCTCAAGTCTGTGTGGAGGTCAACAGTCGGCACTCAGCATGAAAAATAAGATCCGGATTTTCAAATCCAATGTGAAGTAAGTCAGTGCTACTCACTGTATGGATCAGAGACTTGGCCAACGCGTCATTAAAAGAATCTCAAACAAACTACAGACCTTCATCACCAGCTGTCTTTGCTCAATACTTCGCTCAAGATCAGATGGTTGGTCAGAAAGGATCAGCAACAGAGATCCCTGGAAGCAAATGAGCCAGGAACCGACTGTACAACAAATAATCGGGAAGGAGTGGAGGTGAATTTGTCATACTCTGAGGAAACCATCAAGTGAAATCACACGTCAGGCCATCGCTCGAATGGAAGCGACGGGTTGGTCGTCAATGCAAGTGTGACTTGTGGGAGGTCATGTAAAGAGCAGAAGAAAGCATGTGGGCAGATCTGGAGCCAGGTGATTTCTCATCTCATAACAGCTGTGCCAGATATGGTATTGTGGAGTTTTTTACTTGGTAGGCCTAGCATATAGCCTCCTATAGCTATAGCTTCTAGTTCAAACAGATGAAATGTAAGGAGACAGCTGCGTATAGAGAGGATGCTCGGGGTCTGACAATATTGTATTCGCTAGTTTCTTACATGACATTATATATCTATCCACAATAGTATTAACCAGTTAGTTTGTTTAACGATATCCCACTTGCCCTACTAACGCCTTTGAGTGCCTGCCCTTCTCAGCAAAGCACAGTCTTTCTTAAGTAGTCCAGGAAAGATTAATGGGAGGCAGTAAAGAGGGATGGGTAGAATACAAGAATTTACAAACTGACAAAGCAAAGACTGCTTCATGCCAGACTGACTAAATTTCCTAATGTAGAACGTTAAGCGAAACATCTTTCTAGTCTAGTAACTAGCAAGATGTGGGAGGACCAGGAAAGATCGGTGGTAAAGCTCGGCCCAAGATACTTGACATTAGATGTATTGATTGAATCTAATGTTCTGTTGATATAACAGCATGGTGAGGGGAAATACAAAACTAACACAGCTTAAATGATGTTCACACTTATGAAAAATATAAACAAATAAAAACAAAAAAATTGAGAGAATTATAAATATAAGAAATACAATAACAATAAAGGTTGATACTGTAAGGGTGGAGGAAATGGTTTATTTAATAGTACAAAGGAGGTTAGTTAGTTAGTTCATGCCTGACACTATTTTCATCATATGAAGTACGTGTAGTGAAATATGGTATAGAAGGATTTCTATACTTAGACGTACGTGCATAAAGGCTTCTGAAAAGACTTCTTGTTTTACCTGAGGAGGTGACAAAAGGTTGGAGCTGCGGGTGCTGCGGTGGATGCTCAAAGTCTGACAAAATTCCTTCGGCGAATTTGTTGCATGACATCAGGTGCCTATCAATCACAATGTCAACGATATAGCCCAATGTGATAGCAGCCACTAGCCCTACTGACAGTCTTCATAGTCCTACGAAGTATGACATAGTCTTTCCTTTTAAGCAATCCAGGAAAGAATAAGTAAGGGTGAACAGTAAAGAAGAATAGGTAAGATGCACGAGTTGACAAACTGTAAGATTATTATTATTAGGTAGGAATGTCATGGTTGAGGTCATCTGTAGACAGAATTATTGAAATAAATATAGTGAATTTCTGAGTCTGTCTCATGAGAGATTAAATACCTGACAGGCACATATAAAAAACATTCATTTTACAAAGTGTATAGACCTCTAGCATCAGATGAACTAAATACGATGAATGTGGATATCAAATTGAACCGAGTGAATAGTGAACTGAGATTCGTGCAGCTAGTGTAACCTTCTTATATTGACTGATGTGTCTAGTAACATTTATGTATATAAAGTGTGCGCGATTCAGTACAGAATCCACATGAATGAAGCATGCAAAGCGATGAAGTACTCCAACTAGAGGGATTTCAGATTTATTCGAGCTCGGGTCAACTATAAATGCTGACTATCTAGTTCTAAGGGAATTATAAACAGCAGATAGACTGACCAGAAATGTTAGATGACATGTGTGTGTGTGTGTGTGGTGTCAAGCTACTTAAATCAGTCAGTGGGATGTGTCAACTTGCGATTTCGCTTTCTTCATTTATTTGCGCCTGTAACGATGTCACGCAGGTGACATATTTTGATTTGAGGATTCTAGATTATGTGATTCTGAGGAATTCCAGCTCATTTCAACACATTTCAATATTTTAAATGACTTCAGACAGAAGGTAGTGCCTTCAGTGAAAGAAACCAAATTAATTCTGACTGAGAACTGAAAACAGACAAGTCAATGTTAGGACAGAATGCATCATGGAATCAGTCTAAAAATTTCCTGCATTTACTAGTCACATAGTTGGTTGGTGGGAAATCCCTCAGGGGTACGAGGAATTTCAGTCAACTGTTAAGATCAGTATTGTTTGAAAGTAAAAGAGAAATGGATCTGCAAAAATCCAGATCAGTAAATGAACTTTGTAATCTGGCAAACGGTGAATAGTCGTTTCTTAAATCTTGTAGCATCATTATTCTTGTCTAAACTGATAAGGAAATCTGTTTAGAGGAATTTCAACTCAAAAGCCGTCTGTTTGTGAACACTGTTCTCTTTGAATAGTACCACCATCATCTACAAAAGAAGTTGTAACAACTGAGAAAAACACTACATTGGCCGAAGTGGACGTCCCCTTCGTCTTCGTATCCACGAACATAAGCTAACCGTCAAAAGACATGATATCCACTCCACCACTCATATCACTACACACAGACAACCACGGACATCAATTCGACTGGGATAACGAACGTTCAAATATTAGACAGAGGAAACACAAAGAATCCTTGAGAATTTTTAGAAGCCTGCCTGGTATTCCAGTGAATCATCAATCAATAGACACATCGACATAGACGAAATTTATCAACCGATAAGAAAGAAACCTAACAAATACAAAGGGTCAAAGTTCAAGTCAAAGAAACAATCAGTTCCAATACAAGTAGCTGCCTAGAGGGTGTGAAAACACACAATCACTCACGAGGTTGAAGGTCACCCACTAGGAGAGATGATCACTAAACTGGTGGAGAAATCTAAAAGCTCACTTCAATGAATTGAAGTATGTGCTGCCGATGTTGCCTAGTAGGGGGCGACGAAAGCTTCGCAAATTAACTATCCAGCTAGCTCAGAGAACATAACCACATCAAAACCACTAACCTGAGCTACAAATCCTCTCTATCATATCTTTGAATATTTCCCAGAACACTGTCAGATCAGTAGCATAGTTTACCAATGAAACAATATAAACTATGTATTCTAAAATCAATCCTAGACTAAAGAAACCCTAATTTCAGATTCCCTGTGTGACTTAATACTGTTTCAAATTATATTAGGTAATCAATAGTCTGTCACATTTCACATCACTCTCATCAATTCCACCGAATTCATTAATCATTTTACTTTTCTGTACATTCATGTTAAGATGAATTGGAAAAAGTTGTTTGAAAGATTATTTCGACAAATTGGATTCAAAAATTACAAAACATTCAAAATCAGTATAGCGGACACAACAGCGTTAAAATATCATTGCGCCTTACATGAAATTGAACTGTCAACACCTACTGGTAAAAGGTAAGCTTCATACTTATTAGTTCCACTGAATAAGACTGAAGAAATACTTTTCTTTATAAAGACATGCTTTGGTGGATACAAACAATGTGACTTTTTCACTTACTGAAAAGTTCATTAAAATTTGTATTTTGTTCAGTTTGAACACGGTCAATATTTCAAAGATGAACTGGACTCTTATGTTCAAATATTTCAATATAATATTGGTCAGGGACTATTTCATTTAGAGAAGCATAGAAAACCTGAGAGTATTAGACAGCTGTTTTGCTCTGGTTGGTTTGTTCTATCCCTCGACTGTTACCTTCATTAAGAAGGTAACCTCAACACTTTCAGAATGTACACATCCATGTGTCTAATTTGTTTGGTATTGTGACAATAGTCTGATGCAATCAATTTTGTTGAATGTAAATTTCCCAATTCACTTTTCTCCGGAAACTATGCTGGCTTCATTTTGTACAGCAGACGTTTTAATTTTAAAGTGTACTTTGTTCACAAATATACACTAGGAGTACGAAACGTTGTATTATCACATGAAACGTCAATTCCGATGAATGAATGAATCACAGATAAATACGACTGGACAGAATCATGCCGACTTGATATTTTCTGTATCATTCCAGGGTGTTCGACTAGTTTCCTACCACATACCGACAATTCGAGATTTTGTTGATTTCGTGACTCAATTTTGCTGCTGTTCAAATAAATAAGCATACGATATGGAGCTATACGCAGTAGCTTCATACGGTTTACAGCTGAAACTAAATGACAACACTTACTTTTATTTCTTTTCTACAGTACAATTAAGAATATGGCTATCATGGACTTTATGACATATCACGTTAACACTATTGGGCTTGAAGTGAACAGTTCAGAAAGTGCAAATTCTGAGATGGACTCAGGTACGTCATAACTATTGTTTTCGTCTGATGATAAGTGAAGTAAATCGTGCTTTCAGTGAGGATTTGATTTATTCCAACATTGATTTATGTACACTCACTCTTGCGCGTGAACCGCTTGAAGTTTTTGATAAGTTTGTGTATCTGGGTAGTTGTGTGAGTGATGGAGGAGGAGTGACAGATGAGATTTCCAACCGTATAATGAAGTCTAGGGTGGCATACATGAATTTGAGCTACCTTTGGCGCCGTCGCGACGTTATCCTGGGTGTCAAAGGTCAGGTATACAATGCTTCGATGTGAGCTGTATTTCTCTACGCCACTCCCGGTGAAACCTGGCCTCTCCGAGTAGGCTAAGGATGTTCAGCGACCCTGCGTGTTCGATCATCGCTGTCTCCGCAGGACTGTTTGTGTTCGATTGCATCATCGGGTGAGTAATTCTGAGGTTCGGTGGCGTGTGTTTGAACACAGTGGAGATCATCATTCATTGAATGTCGTCATCTGGAAACACCGGATCCAGTGGGTTGGACGTGGGCTGGGAATGTCATCCCATAGGAGGCTTCTGTACAGGTGCCTGTTCGCTAGCCAGCCCTGGGATGGGGTGGAAAAGGCGGAGGGGTGGTCAGTCCATGTGGAGGCGTCGTGGGATGAAGGATGTTTGTGCTAGATTAGCATCGTTTGGTCTGTCACGACTCCATGGTTGGGGTCCGAAAGGTAGCTCGAATCGATGGCTCGAAACTTTATTGGATATGGCCAAGAATCGTAATTAATGGCAAACGTGTTGCAATTTTGCTCCCTTCTTCCCTTCCTGATGATAGTTAAGGAATACTGCTTGAACTTATTAAGCATGACTGTTTTCCTTCCAGATGAAGTTCTTTACCCGTTCTCTACTTATATTTTCTCTTATTTTCTTTTTTATACTTTTGATCTATGTTGTTTTATTTTTATAGTGTGGAGCATCTTTCTTGGTGCCACATTGTACCGAGTGTTTTCTGCGTCCAAATAAATAAAACATGTTATGTTTGAAGTCGATGGAGCATGCGTGATATCTTACTGACTCGTTTGTTAAAAATCATTCGTCTAACATGTTTCAATTTGGTGTATGTTTTCAAAACATTTCTGTGTCTTGTTTATTCTGATTAAAGGTTTGAGCCCGAAATTCTCAGTATTTTGTATCGAACAACTGAAAGAAACATTTCCATGGACTCTTGAAAGACATTACGTTGCTCAGTACTTCAAAGAAAGTCAACGAAATGAGGTTCGTCCAGTAATTCATATTTAGTTCCATTGTCTTGTCTGTATAAGTCAGAGTTTTCGAAATTATTTTCCCACGTGAACCGGAAGCATCATGACAGTCAGTACTTATAACAAGTACAAAGAAATGTGATCATTTCTGTCCATAAATATTATAAGAAATAAGCTTACTGTTTCGAATTTACCCTCATTATTTATTTAGTGTTATTTGGTGTTGGGAAACGGGTATAAAATGGACCCCCAGGAAAACCTGGAGTATCTGAACTTCGCCGACGACATATGTTTCATTCCTCACAAGCTGGAAGATATGCAAGTGAAATGCAACAAGTTCGCAGAAGAAACATCAAAGATAGAACTAAACTTCAGGTGAATATAGAGAAAACAGAGGTGGGTAATGAAGATTCCTGGCCAACACCAACAGCCACAGCAACAACAACAGACAAAAGTCAGCCAGGATAAATGGGAGCAACCTGAAAGAAACAACCTCCTTCACCTACCTACTTACCTACCTACCTGGGAAGCATCGTTTCAACTACGGGTGGATGGAACTGGAGAGGATATCAAAGCAGCGTGGGTCGTGAAAGCAAGACAAGCTTTCATTAATCTCAAGTCTGTGTGGGGACCAACCCTCTTTACTCAGCACGAAAAATAAGATCCGGATTTTTAACTCCAATATGAAGTCAGTGCTACTCACTGCACGAAGCAGAGACTTGACAAGCGCGTCATGAAGAGCAGCTCAAACAAACTACACACCTTCATCAACACCTGCCTTCTTTTAATACCACTCAAGATGAGATGTCCGGCCAGAGAAGATCAGGAACAGTTATCCCTGGCAATGAGAGAACCAACCAGGAACCGATTTTGCAGCAAATAGACAGGAAGAAATGAAGATGGATTGGCTGGCCATACTCTGAGGAAACAAACCATCAATTGACATCACTAGACGAGCCATCGCTCGAGTGGAACTCGATTGAATGGGAAGCGGCGACTTGGTCGTCATTGCAAGGGTGACTTGAAGGAGGCCATGTGAAGAGGAGATGAGATCGTGTGGGTAGATCTGGAGCCTGGTGAAAAAGCTGGCGGAGAATTGAACGCAATGGAGATGTTCAGCCGAAGCCCTATGTTCCTCTGGAAATTAAAGGAAATTTTTTCCCTCACGTTCCCCAGTGGAACATAGGGCTTCAGGCTAGTTGCTTGAAGTTTATGTGGCAGTATTTATCTTACAGGATGGGGTTGCTAGCCTCATGCCGATTCTTCCCTATCTACCAGTTTTACTATTGGCTTAGTGAGGTCAAAGGGTGCATCGACTGGGGATTCAACCCCGGACCATGTGGATGGTCGGCGAGCGTCTGAAATTAAAGGAAATAATATTTATAAAGATAATCGATGGTGGGAAAGTCATCTAAGGCTCTGAAGTGACGGCAGGAGTAGGATAGAGCTAACTACTATCACACTTTATATTCCTAACGGCGGTACACTGTATTGTGCATCAAACTGTGAGTGAGGAGCGGCAAGACAGGAGTCCGTAAGGCAGATTAAAAGACTTAAGAAGATTACGACTTCTCGGATGTCTTAAGTTCAAAGTCACATGAACTACAAGCTCTACAGGAGAAAACCAGCTAACCGGCAGAACAAGCATCAAAGATTGACTTCAAGTGGACATACGGAATACGAAGGAGATGAAGACCATCAACTGACGACGACAACAACAACAGGCAAGAACCAGGATGGACGAGAGAAATTTGAGAGAGTTCAATCCCTTAAACGTATCTAAGAAGCACTGTGTTTAAAGATAGGCGGAACGGATGAAGATATCTGAGCGAAAAACGGGAAGGTAAGGCACACTACCATCATCGTTCTGAAATCAGTTTGGAAGTCTTCTGCATTCTGGAGCATGAAGAACGAAATTCGAATTTTCAATAAAAACACCAAGTTAGTCCTTCTAAATGGGTCAGAGACTTGCACTATTCGTCACGAATAAAATTTACAACAGGTTACTGCAGACTTACATCAACAGCTGCATTCACCGGCTTCATATTTAATAATGATAATGATGATAATTTGCTTTATTCTAAAACAGTACTTGTGATACAGAATGGAATTCTCACCATTCGCTACAGTATTGCCTCCAGTTTGTACATTAACAATAAATAAATTTCTACACAGATTAAGTGTAATCTTAATTAGTTTTGACAACAACATATTGGCATGTCGGTAGCAAGCCAAAATTGAACAGTTTTTGAACGTGTTAGAAAAGTAGATAGTAGAATATTTACTGGCGTAAGCGTTAACAAAACGGTCGAGAGTGTGAGAAAGAGCGAAGAATGTTTTAAGTAGAGTTTGTGAGGAAGAGAGAAACAAAACAGCACATAACAAAAAGAGGAGAGAGGGAGAAGAGGAAAAGAAAGGAATAAAACATTGTAGCTATAAATGATATGAGTTGGAAAGACGAGATCCAGTTGTTCTTCTGACTATTTAATTAGTTATAATTTTCACGCCTAATGCTTCATTCATCGCACAGAACACGAACGAGCCAATTAGGGTATGGTTGAGTTTTTGTACTTGCTAATGCGGGCATATAGTATTCTATATAGGCTTCTGGTTCAGGCTGATGAGATACAAGGGGAGAGGATGGTGTGAGTTATGTAAAATGGATTTTGGCCATTTCTCACATGAGTCCATGTACCTGCCGACTAGAATATTAACAAGGCAGTTGAGTGGCACACTGCTTACCCTGCTGACAACTTTTAACATCCTGCGTAATAAGATATAGTCCTTCTTCAGTAGCCCTGGAAAAACTAAGGGGGAGAATAATAGGCACGATGCAAGAGTAAGGGTTGGATTGGGTTATTCCAGAATGTCTTAACTTCTTGATGTAGAAGGTAAGACGGAATAGTTTCTTAGAAATCATCTAGATATGAGACGACAGGAAAGGTCAGCAGATAGAATTTCGCCTAGGTATTTAATTTCCAACTTGGTCTCTATTTCAGTGTCATCTATGTTGCACACCTCGTGAGCCCTAACCGGTTTATTTAGGTCAGATTTACGCCTGAAGGTCAAATTGACTGTTTGACATTTTTAAAAAGATTTAAGGCAAGACCGTTTTCCTTGGACCACTGGCTGATTTCTGATAAAAAGCCATTTAATTTGGAGCATTCGCTTTGACATCTGACAGACAAAGATACAGTCAGATCGTCAGCATATTTAACAAAATTAATGTCATTTGAAGATGGTAGGTCACGTAGAAAGAAAGAAAAGAGAAGTGGAGAGAGTACAGCACAGCAGAAGAGGATTTACCTTAGTATACAGTGTACCGCATTCTGTTTGAGAAATAAGAATGCAACCAGTTAGTGACCCAGGACTCAGTTTGTGTCATAGAGAGCTTATTTAGCAAGAGACATCTAGGAACAGAGTCCAAAGCAGAAGTGAAGTTGAGAAACGTGCAACGAACGTAATTCTATGCTACCCTAATTATGCTTTCTTTCTCATTTCAAAAACCGCAGGTTTTCAATATGGTCGATGAAATCAAGAAGACTGTGAATGATTCATTCGAAAAGCTGACATGGTTGAATGACGGAATGAAGCGCTTCGTGATTGACAAGGTTTGAATTTATTTGACTGAAATTGTATATTTAGTAATTTCTACAATAATGAACTTACAGATTTCGAAGATAAAAACCTTCGCTTTGTTTGATGGTGTGGAAACATACGAAGAGAAAGAAAATCTATCTACTATATATCGAGTAAGTCAGACGAGACGGTTGTCATTCTTCTACCACATTTTATTGAAAAGAGCTATTCTCAATAAGCAGATCGCAGTGCAGTGGAACACGCATTTTACTGAGAAACATTTAATTAACGGTAGAGTTTATTTCATCAGTAAACTATCTCAAATATATTGAGTTTGACATGAACTGTTTAAGTGCATTTTGAAAGTCTAGTGGAGCAGTGTTTCCCCAAACTAGAAATTGTGTAGCTAACAAACTTACGATCTCTGACGGAATAAAGCATGTACACTTGAAATTTCTTCACAACCGTGATAATAAGAGTGTTTCACTGAAGGTGTAATTTAAAGAAATCATTTCGCTTTATGAATTTCGATAACACAATAAGAAGACGTGGCTTATCTGAAACGTGTAATGTATCGATGCAACACATTTCGGATATTCTGATCACACACATGAGTGCTTGTCATACACAGTTTTATAGAAGGCAAGAAAGCATGAATAATAACAATACAGGTCAGATTGTGTACAGGTCAAGGTCACAAATAATGGGTGGGGAGACTCGAAGGTGTGGGTTAGGAAGACAAGAAGAGAAAAAACAAGACCGAGAAAGGGTTGAAAATATTATGAAGTAAATTGGTCCTTGGTTCTAAACCAACAGATCCCATAGAAATCCTGAGCCAGATCACCAGGGTACAAGACTGTATATCGCTAGCATACGTTAAAGAGAACAATGAATGCCTGCCATTTTTAAATGTAATAATAACCCGCCGAGAAGATGGGTCAGTAAAACGATCTGTCTACAGAAAGTCCATATGGACGGAACAGTATCTTAAGTATCCACTATGGTATAAAAACCGTTGATGAAGTGTTTGTTCAAGCGCATTCACCGAATATGTACTGCCGATATAATTGAAGAAGATAGACAACACCTCACTGAAATATTGTTAGATAACAACTACCCACAGAGATTTATTAAGCGTTACGGAAATGTCAAACATAGAGCTCTACCAATCCAATCAGCTCCCTGCCATTCAGAGGTGATTAACAAAGTCTGGTCACTAGACAAAGACTCAGGGATGCAATTAATAGGACTTATTATGCAGCTAAACTTATCTTCATAGATAAAACGAAAACTATGCTGTCCTGTAAACCCTCACATTATCAGAACGATAGTGTCACATCCCACTGCGTTTATCAATTTACATGTATGTGTGTAGACACGTACATAGGGAGGACCCATTGATCTCTGCAGGTAAGGGCTACAGAACACATTCCAAAGTGGCTGCAACAACAAATGAAACCGCCAGACACAATTGATCCCTGCAATAGATGTCCAACATCATCTGTAGCGAAGCATATTGTAGAGACGGGTCATAAGATTGATTTCAGCAATCCCTTTAAGCCGATATATAAAACAAGGTTGGGCCACATACTTAAATTTGTTGAAGTCTTAGCCATAAAAAGACTTAAACCGGTCTTATGTGTCCGAAAGCCATTTGTTATCACCCTAAATCTGCCTTGGTAATCCAATTTAGAACCAAGGACCAATTTACTTCATAATATTTTCAACCCTTTCTCTGTCTTGTTTTTTCTCTTCTTGTCTTCCTAACCCACACCTTCGAGTCTCCCCACCCATTATTTGTGACCTTGACCTGTACACAATCTGACCTGTATTGTTATTATTCATGCTTTCTTGCCTTCTATAAAACTGTGTATGACAAGCACTCATGTGTGTGATCAGAATATACGAAATGTGTGTGTCGGTGTCACAGTGGTTAGGACTCTTGTCGACCATGAATATGATCCAAGGTTCGAATCCCTACCGACGCATCATAAAGAGCACCTCAAACAAACTTCAGACCTTCATTAACAGTTGTCTTCGCTCAATAGTATACAACATCAGATGGCCAGACAAATCGCCAGCAGAGATCTGTGGCAATAAGCGAACCAACGAGTAACCGATTTTGCAACAAATACATTGGAAGAATTGGAAGTGGATTGGCTGGCCATACTCTGAGGAAACCATCAAGTGATATCACTAGACGAGCCATCGCTCGAGTGGAAATCTAAATGGAAGCGGTGAGTTGGTCGTCCGAGTGTGGGTTGACTTAGAGGAGGCCATGTGAAGAGGAGATGAAAGCATGTCGGCAGGTTTGATGCAAAGTGAAAACGTTAACAGAGAACAGAATGAGATAGAGACGCGCGGTGAATGCTCTGTGTTCCTCTAGGAATTGAAGGAAATAATAATAATAAGTAAGACCAGAAGGTTTGGTTAGCACACTGTATATGCTTCCTCTCCGTCTTAATCCGTAGACACTTGAATACCCGTAAATCATATTCTCACAAGTTTTTATCACAGATCACATTCACATTTCATTGTTTTATCTTACTCTTCCAAACAGCTACAGTATCCGATTGATGAAAACACCTACATTATGAATGAATATTATGCACGCAGGGCAAAAGTCCTCGACGACTATCGAAAGGAAGTATTCGGTCTGGGAGAGAAGTAAGCTGTTAATATTTTTAGACACATAAGTGTGGCTGGAACATCTCCATTAGGCCTAATAAATGAAGAAGTTTTCAGTGAAAGTCACTCATTTTCAAGCTGTGCATTCGCATATATAAATATAAACAAATATATTACATTATGATAGCAATAAGAGAGAGGAATGTTTCCAAAGATTTACCGTCTTGATTGCAAAATTTCTGACGAAAATTGTGTTATACACAAAGCAATCATTGAGTAGAAATCTAAGCGAAATTCGATAGGTAAGCTGGGTGATGCTTCATAATCGAAGGGGTTTTAATACAACTTAAAAAAAATTGCCGACGCCAAGTAAAACACCAAGTCAAGTTATCCTGAGAGAGAGAGAGAGTAAAATATCCCCTGGATATGGAAATCCAACCAGAAGAGGCTGGATTCAGGCGAAGCACTAATGTGCGGATCAAAGTGCAACTCTAGGCAACATCATTGAACTGAGAACAAAGTGGCATTCAACTCTCATTCTAGGGCAACTTCTTTCAATTTGAATATGCCTTCGACAGACAGCAATGGCTGTGAAGCGATGTGGAAACCGCTTCAACACTGTGGCGTGCATGACCCTAGATATTATTCAGCTGTATTCAACAGCTGAATGACAATGCCGCTATAAGATCGTCCGAAACGGAGAACTAACCAAAGGCTCTGAATTGAAGGCAGAAGTAAGACAACACTGCCCAACAAACTCTCTAATTATATTCCTCATTGTAGCCAACTGGATTATGCGAGAGTCTGTGAGTGAGGAGCGGGAAGACATGAATCCTTTGGGCGAATAAGAAGACTCTAGAAGATCATGACTTCTCGGATGACTTATGTCGAACGTCACACGAAGTAGAAGTCGTACATGAGAAACATTAATTTTAAGCCAGTCAGTTCCTCTGCACAGGTGATACACCTGTCACTGATTTCCCGGAAAACATTTCCAACAGGCTACTAGAGACTTTCATCAACAGCTGGCTTCTCTGATTTCATACTGGAGAATAGATAGCTAGTCAGAAAGACTTAGAAGCACTAAGCACCGGGAACAAAATAACCATGAATCTAGTTGTCAGTAAAAATACGCTGTAAGGAAATGGAGGCGGATCGAATACACGAATGAGGAGACCATCGAATGACACCGTGCACTAAATCATCACTCAAGTGGATCCCGGAAGGGTCTCAGTTTGAAATGGAGCGGATTGTGTGAGGAAGAGATGAATTACTATGAACAATCATGGACGGGGTCAGCTGCAGAGTATTAGTTGGAACAGGACACTGGAGATCTGTTGTTGAATACTTATGTTCCACTTGGAACCAAGGGAAATATTTATAATGGCCAAAATTGAAATGGGGTCAAATTATCATCAGTCTTCTGAAGAGACGGATTGTATTATTGGAAATGTTGTGAGTATTTAAAATATGAACTACCATAGCTTCTGCAGTCTGTTCTTCTTTAGGACGATTTATGTGTACTCTGTAGATACGTCGGGGTTGGTTTGCACGCTCCAGAATATAGCTGTGGAGGGGGTATACTTCTCCTTTTTATGTATGTAGGAAATATAACATTTTCAGATATTTAGATTGACATTTAAATAAACAATAGCTACGATTTTTACTAATCGGTAGTTTATAATGATTTCATGCTCAACGAAATATTGAAAAGTAAGAGTAGCCCAGATAATTCACGGGTAATTCACGATCATTTAAACAGTCCAGTCGACATAAGGGTGAAGCCTACATTTACGTCACATTCATCCAGCTTAAGCGATACAAGGTAAGAAAAGTCATGACATGGGTTATATCTGTAAAATACACAACACAATGAAAAGAAGTAACTGTTTATCATTTTAGCTAAGTTCTGAAGCTTCACATACTGTATATTTAATTGAATTTTTACATTTTCCCGTCGATTGATTGGACGGAAGTGCTCGGTCTCAGGTTGACATGTCGGCTTCTTGTGTAGGGAACATCATCAGTCATTGAGAAATGCAGGTACATCCAGCTGACGAGTCCCAAATAGGACGAAATGTGCATCCTGAATCCCACACTGCTAGTCACCATCCACCAATTAACTTCACATACTGTGTTTCTCATTCATTCACAGATATGTAGTTTGTTATTATGGAAGACCAGTGGAATTCGAGCCCATAAAATTTATCCGTCACTCCATCAAAGGACGTGTAAAATCCTCAGTGTTTCTCTCTGTTCTTCTTCTTTATAGCTACGATTCATTACTATTGAAAGTAGAGCATATATGAAGAACCTAACTGTGTTTAACGACCAACGAATGTTACGTCTTAATAAGAGAGTTTCAACGTTCTTCTGGACCACACTCATCAACTGTGCACCCAATTAGACACAACTCTGGGGGCGTAGTCATCCGAATTCTGGCTGGCCACTTGCACCGACTGGTACCAAACAGATCACATATGATGGTGAGGACCACTTCGGTTACTAAAGGGAAACTGCAGCGAAATCGCATCTGCAACTGCATAATTCTTCAAAAAACAGTGTCAAATGTCTTTTGCTAATTAGGAATTTGATCCTTGTAACATGTCGCTTGTCTCCTATGTTCTTTTGTTTATTCGTCACTTCGTCAGAAACATTCAGAGAGCTGATGATTTCATTTTTTGTATTTTCTATGCACAGATTGAATGCACAAAGAGCAACTTATATACCCTCAGCCTCTTATTGGCCCACTGAAAACCGCATAAATATTAATGGTGCTTTGCTGAATCTACCGATTAACCGTGATAATCAAACTATTTCGGAAAAATATGGAGGATTGGGTTGGCATATAGCTCATGAAATATTACACGCTGTTGATACATCCTGTACTAAACGAAACAAAATGAGTTTTTTTTTAATTTTTAACATATCTTTGTTGACATGTGTTAAACTGACAGACACTTTTTCAGGGAAAATAACCCAAGGTGGAAGAGAAAATTTAAGTTGTTTCCCTCATTCACAATGTGTTCGTATTTTTGTAACCTTGTTTCAGTGATATTGCAGTCATCATCTTCATCCCTTTACTAGCATCCATTCAATTTCCGAGTGTGACGTAAGGCTTCAAGTATGGTCTTTGAATTGTCAGAAACAGTTGCTTTAGAGAGTGGGGCTGCAAGAGTCACATCCAACCTTTCCTGCCTGACCGTCACTCTCCATCATATAGGCGAAGCGTAAGAGTGTGTTAGGGTCTGGGAATTGGACTTCCACCCCGAAGGTAGTTGACTAGCATTTTAACCCTGGACCACTGATATACCTTTGTTCGTACACTGACTCAGAACTAAAAGGGAGTTGAATTAATTCACTGTGTAGCTTCACTGAAGACTTGAAGATTTCGATAGCTGTTCCCTGCAATGATGTAACTTAGTGTAGCTCAACTTCACCAGAAACAATTTGACCATCATATTGTCCGAATTATTTTGTAGCCTCAGGTGTGGCTTATTGGTGATTATTATATTGCGTCGATGGCACAGTAGTTAGGACTCTCGCACGTGGCCCGGGTTTCGAGCCCACGCCGACGCACACCTGATATCTATGTTCGGCCTGCCGAATTTCGGCTACCGATATCCACGCTGAAAATTCCATACTTGTACCAAAAATACGGTGTGGATCAAGCTGTAATCAAAAACAAAATAATTATATTATAATTATTTCCTGTAGTTCTTATAGGAACATAATGCGTCAGCCAGACGTCTCCGTTGCATTCGGTTCTCTGCTAGAGTTTTCACCTGGCTCCAAGTGTGCCCATATGCTCTCATCTCCTCTTCACACCACCTCCTCTAAGTCACCCCACACTCGGTCGACCAACTCGCCGCTTCCTTTTCTGGCAGGTTCCACTCAAGCGAAGGCTTGTCTAGTGATGTCACTTGATGGTTTGTTTCCTCAGAGTATGGCCAGCCAATCCACCTCCATTTCTTCCTGCCTATTTTTTGTACAATCGGTTCCTGTTAGGTTGGTTCGTTCATTGCCAGACATCCCTGTTGCTGATCATTTTGGCCGGCCATCTGATCTTGAGTGAATTATTGACCGAAGGCAGCTGCTGATGAAGGTGTGTAGTTGGTTTGAGATGCTCTTTATGACGCGCTGATCAAGTCTCTGATCCGTACAATGAGCAGCACTTACTTCACATTGGAGTTCAAAATCTGGATCTTATTTACACTTTCATGCTGCCTGCGGTTGACCTCCACATAGATTTGAGAGTGATAAAAGCTTATCTTGCTTTCACGATCCTTGCCTTGATATACTCGTCAGTTCGTCCTCCTGTGGTTGAAACGATGCTTCCCATTTTGGTAGGTAGGTAGGTGAAGAAAGTTGCTTCTATCAGGTTCCTCCCATTTATGCTGGTTGATTGTTTTCTATTGTTGTTGTTGGTGGTGGTGTTGGCCAGGAATCTTCATCACCTCTGTTTTCTCCATGTTCACTTGAAGTCCTATCCTCTATGGATGTTTTGTCTGCCAACTTTTTGCTTTTCACTTGCATATCTTCTATTTTGTGGGATATCAGTGAATTGCAGATCCTGCAAATTTTTCGTGAGAGCCAATTTTAAGCCTGTTTCCTCGTTGCCCGCCGCTGTCTGTCGCATTGTCCAATCTAATGCAGTCAGGAAGATCATTGGCGATTGTAGACAGCCTTCGTTGACTCCCGTCCTCACTTCGAAGGATTCCGTACGTTTTCCGTTGTGGATTATTTGGCGTGCAGCATTGTCATACAACGTTTGGATGAGATGTATAGTTGTCAGTGGCACCCCCTGGTAGCGAAGTAGTTATTGCTTATCTTAGCTGAATCGGAAGAGGTATTAGAAATATTGATCAGCATTATTATTACTATTAGTGTTATATTTATTATTCGATTGGGTGCCAAGTGGAACATGGGGTTTAAAGAGCACATTCCCATTTCACCCCGTTCTCTGCAGTCCTCTTTCACTGGAGCCATGTTTCTCCATATGCCTTCATCGCCTCTTCGTACTATCTTCCCAATATCAGCTTCGAACCAACCCCCAACTCGTTCTTTCCCATCAAGAATCCATTGGAGCGGTAGTCTGATGGATGATGTCATTTGATGATCTCCTCGGTGTGTCCCCGATCCATCTCCATTTCGTACAGCAAGTAGTTTTAGGAGTAGGTTTGTAATTCGTTCGTTTCTGAGCTTCCTTATCGCTATTTCTTTCTGGCCAGCTATCTGATCCCCAGTATGGAGTTGGAGAAGCCATCATTTGATGAAAGTCTTCAGTAGCTTGTAAGCAATGCTCTCTGTGACACACCAAGTTTCTGACTCACGTAGTGTGCAGAAGATTTCAAACTGATTTCAGAGTGACGTAGATGTGCCTTAGCTTTCCAATCGTAGCTGGTTTTGACATCCTCAACTGCGATGCTGATCTATAGTTGAGACGATGTTTTCTAGATAAGTGAGGAGAGAGTGACCTCTTTCAAATTTCCCCACCGATATTGGTTGGTGCTTTTTGTTTTTGTTGCTATTAGCTACTGTCCTTCATAACCCATGTTTTCTCCACGTTAATTTGAGACAATGTCTTCAACTTATTGGTTTTACCCGTATATCTTCGAGCTTGTGTGACCTAAGGCATAAATTGTCCGCCATGTCCGGAACGTCTAGAGTCTTCTTGTCAATCCGACGTACTCTTGTCCTCTTCCTCCAGAGCACAGCCTTTCGCATAATCCAGCCTATCACAGTCAAGGATAGCGTCTTACTCCTGTCTTCACTTCAGAGGATTCTCAGAATTCTAAGATGTGGGTCGCTTGACATGCAGCTTTTGAGTGGTCAACAAATGTTCATATTTTCTCTCTGTTTTACTCTGATTCGGTCTTCCGGAATGATCTTTTAACTGAGGTATTACACTTTGATTAGAATCATCACCTTATTCGCGCTTCTAGGCGACTATGGTAACTGTTTGCACTTTATTTCTTCTGTGCTGCGGTGAATTTCAACCATTTCAAGGAGCATGTTCATATCACTGACCTTATGGTGTGTATTCAGTAAAGTACAGTTCCATGTTAGTTTCTATTGTCAATTCGGGTATCTGGCAAACAAAGTATTGATATAAATAAAATACAAGAAACTATGGAAATCAGCCTAGTAACGCGTAGGATTTTAATAACATTTCATTTTCTATAGTTTGGTTTGTAAAGGTTAATTTTGTTTTTAACCAGTTGATCACGGATTTATATCAATTAGAGAACCATTGAAAACCAACCAGGGAGTACTGGACAGCTAGCTGTTTCGTTTTAGTTTTGGAAGACCATCGGTAGTACAAGGCAACCATGCTCGTGTATCATTCAGTCAGTGGGACCCGAGTCAATGGCCAGTGCATGAATTCTAACTTCTGCCAATTTGTGATTTAGCCTGACCCCAACCATTGTCGTAGGTGGGACATCCATCCTCACATGTGACATCAATCCATGATCGAATCGTTAAAAACAAAATTAACCCTTACAAACCAAACTATAGAAAATTAATCTGATACTCGCTAGTGACTTGCTACATGATGGATCTTCCTGAAGTTCTAGTGAAAATTCGTGACTAGTGAGGTTCATCGAGATGTGATAAGCTCTTAGTAATATGATGATTTTTCTGGGGAGGCATGAACAACAGCAAGAGGGGTGTGAAAATGACTCACCGATGCATTTGACCTAAGTGTATGAAACCGGTGATGAAAATTTATTGACAATTACATTAAAAGTATTGGTTTGTAGTAGGGATTTTGTTTGATTGCATGGAGGATTTCATCATGAGCTGACATCAGTTAGAGAACCACTGGAAAACCTGGGAGTACTGGACAGCTGTTTCGTCCTAGTTTGGGACTCCTCAGCAGTACGCACTCAATGGTCTACGAGCTCGCCTTGTAACCAGAAGGTCCTGGGTTCGAATCCCGGTGGGTGCGTACTGCAGAGGAGTCCCAAACTAGGACGAAACAGCTGTCCAGTACTCCCAGGTTTTCCAGTAGTTCTCTAACTGATGTCAGCTCATGATCAAATCCTCCATGCAATTACATTAAAAGTTTGCATATTTTCATCATATGCATGAACTCAAATACCTCAGGTGTAATTACTAGTCTGTTACTTCTAAATTTCAGACTCATGTTGTCAAATCATTCAATGTGCTGACTGGAATACTCGAAATCATTTCTCACATTTCCATTTGTGGTATGTGAATCATCGATCACCGATTAGCTCATTGACAGTCTCACTCATGTAATGTACGAAATTGTGTGACGCGATGAAGAATAATCCCAGTGGTATCCAGAGTTTCAGTGTAGTTTCCGACTTAGCTTATTGATATCCCTCAGTGACTTCTAAGGCAAGTTAAATTGACGAATACAATTTAGTTGAGAATCGTCTCCGAGAGAATATTTGTGCTACACATTCTCCCTTGTAAATCACCTTTCATTAAAGAAAACAACACACGTAGTTCAGCGAAGAGTCTCTTTTCCGCGGCGAATGCATTTCCCACCTTAGCTGTACAATAGCAAATACATATGAGTTATTTTATATGCAGGTGTACATCAAGTTTGTCAAACTAATATTCAATTGGTTACGGATATTTCAACTAAACAGGTGAAGATTGGTATTTGATGTAACGTATTACAAAATCAGTCAAGAAAATTAGGTGTAAATGAGATAAGGGTAGTAACAAAGGTGATGAGTTGTCACAAACAGTTGTTAAAAAAGAAGTTATGTAATAATATGGATACTCTGATGATTGAGTTTTTCCCAGGATACGCATAGAAACAAGGTAGAGAATACGAAATTACGTAAGAGTTCTAAATGAATACAAGAGTTATAAGTAATTAAATAACAGGCAAAGAAACAAAATT